TGTATTTATATGACATATACATATATATATATATATATATATATACATATACATATACATATACATATATATATCATATATATATATATATATATATTTATATTATACACACTCGTGGATGATATCGTGCGCTCTCGTGAATAAAAGAAAAGTCTTCCTTATATATACGATGAAGCTCGCACTCGTTCCTCTCTCTCTCTCTCTCTCTCTCTCTCTCTCTCTCTCTCTCTCTCTCTCTCTCTCGCTCTCTCTCTTTCTTTCTCTCAAGCCAAATAGGATATCTTGTCGCACAGTATGAGACGCATATCTCGAGACATCGTGTTCTAAAGTTGTCGTGTTCTTAAGGAAGCTGCCTCGTATCATTTTTGTTCATTCTTTCCATCATTTTTTCTTTTTTATTATTTTTTTTTTTTTTTTTTAATTTATTTTGTTTTATTTTCTTTCTTTCATGTTCGAATTTAAGGAAAGAGATCTGTGTTTGTTGCAATGGAGAAGCTTCTCTCTCTTTCTCTCTCTCTCTTTTTCTTTCAAATCCTGGTTCGTTGATTCTTAATCATCCCTGGCTGTACTCTCCCCATGCCTTTTTCTATATCTTTCTCTGTCTGTCCATCTGTCTATCTGTCTGTCTGTCTGTCTGTCTGTCTGTCTGTCTCTCTCTCTCTCTCTCACTCTCCCTCTATTCTTTTCTTTTTCTCTCTTTGTCGAAACTCGAGGCGAGCTTTTGCCCTTATTTGCGAGCTTTTTAGGCCGGTCTGGCACGTCACTGCGAACACAAGAAAAGGCACGAGAGGCCGAGATAAGTGAAATCTCAGTCTCTCTTTCTCTTTCTTATTTGTCTCTTCTTCGTTCCTCTTAACTATCTTCTAGAAAGAGAAGACGAAGAGAAGACCATAAAAACGCGGACGATCGAACGATTTCTTTTCTTTTCTCTCTCTCTCTCTCTCTCTCTTTATTATTTATTTTCTTTTCCTTTTTTTTTTTTCTTAATATTTTTTCCTTTATATATATATATATATAATTTTTTTTCCCCTTTCTTTTCTTTTATTTTGTTTTCTTTTTCTCTTTTCCTTAGATTTCTTTTTGATAAAATTAACTTTGTACGAACTGTGCTTGTAACAAAGAAAATCCGCACACGTATTCTGAATTCATCGTCTAGTCTGACGTGATTTTTGTTTTTTTTTTTTGTTTTTGTTTTGTTTATTATTTTTTTCACAGATAAATGAGAATGATAAAACTCGTCCGAGGGAAGACGAAAAATCGATGAACTTTCTCTTTGACATTCTGATAACTATTAATCTCGAATAATGAATTTATATTATTATATAAAAAAAAAATAAATAAATAAATAAATAAATAAATAAATAAAAATGTCGCGCGAGGTAAGAACTCGTCCAGACTCGTAGCAGCGAAGAACTCTCCGAGTCTTTGATCTCTTTTTTTTCTCATTGATATCGTTTTTATTTCTCTCTAGTTCGTTCTCGCAAATATTTATCTTTGCGTTTTGATTTTTTATCATTTCTTTTATTATTATTATTATTATTATTATTATTATTATTATTATTATTATTATTATTATTATTATTATTATTTATTATTTTCGTTTTTCTTTTTTTTCCATTACTTCAGAAACACGATATCGAAACGAGTGCGAACTTTGTCAAATACGCCCACCGTCCTCCTAATTTTGCATTCTTGTTGCAACAAACACAGTTCCTTAATTTTACTTTACGTTAAACTTATGACGGAGCGTCGAAGATAGATAAAAAAAAAAAAAAAAAAATGAAAAAAAAAAATAGTGACAGAAAAAAAGAAAAGAAAATAAATAAATGAATAGAAAGATAGATAAAAAGAAAAGAAAAGGGAAAAAAAATGAAAGAGAAAGAAGAAAAAGATAAAAATGATAGAGATACAATGAAGACAAGTCCAAAAAAAAAAAAGAAAAACAAGGCGAGCCCGAAAAAACTAAGGATGATAAGTTCATAACAAAAACATTATTGGGATTGTGGCCAATCGAACGACGAACAGAGAAGAATAATTCTGCTCTCTTTTTCTTTCTCTGCATTATGTGAGTGTGTGCAAGCGATTGATTGATTATTTAGCAACGTTTGTTACGTATAGCTGGGAATGTTAGTAGTATCAATTTCTTTTTCTTCTTTTTTTTTTCTTTTTTTTTTTCTTTTTTTTTTTTACATAGCATTAATTTTCGTCACGGCATTCATTTTCTTAATTGCATTCCTCAATCGGAATATATTATAATCGAAGCTAAAACATCGATATTCGTCTTTATTCGAATGATCGGTAAAAAAATAATTTATTGAAGCGAGGAGGGGAGGGGGACGGTAGGAGAAAACGAACGGAATAAAAAAAAGAATAAAAAAAAAATGAATAAATAAATAAATTAAAAAAAAAAAAAAGATTTATATCGAGGGTGGGGGGGAGAAAAAAATAAAAAAGAATAAAATATAAAAAAATAAAAATATTTATAAAATGAATTGTAAAAAAGGAAAAAAAAAAAAAAAAAAAGAAAGTAAAACAACACAATGAGCTTGCTCATTTCTGTGAGAAAATCAAATCGATAGACACGCGATGATGATAGCTTCCATTTAAATAAGATCGTTAAATTCCGATTTGGATAATCCCGTTCGTAGGAAAGAATAGAAAAACGAAAAAGAAAATGGTTCGTGATCTCAGCCGTGATCGACACCCGATAAAAGAGAAATCATGCATTTTAGTCGCTTCATTTTCGACTATCTCGTTCCAATGTGAAATTAAAGTTAGCCTCAGAGTTCTGATCTCGATCTCTCTGTCTCTGTCTCTCTCTCTCTCTCTCTCTCTCACACACACACACACTCTCCCTCTCTCTCTTTTTCTTTCTCGATTCGATTTCTCGACGTTTTTATTATACGACCCGAGAATATAAATTACATAACAGCTGCGACGGTGGTCAAAGAGAAAAATTCGAATTTCGAGGGAGTTATAGTTGGAATGGCAAAACCCGTTTGCTTGTTACTTTACGGATAAACAGAGATTTATCGACAACCGAGAGTCGCGAGTATCGTAGATGTCCAATAGACGGAAACTGCTTCCGGGCTACTTCCCCTTTTGCGAATTTCACGGTCAAACGGTTTAACGTTTTTGCGAATCCGATTGGTCGTTCGTTTTCGTGACAGTAGAAAAAATTACACGTCGCGAAGTAAACGAAATATTTTACTTGAGATATTATATACCTATAGTGCCTTTCCTTTTTTCTTTCCCCGTTAATTGTTTTTTTCTTTCTCTTTTCTTTTACTATTTTTTTTTCTTTTCTTTTTTCTTTTTTTCTTTTTTTTCATTTTCTTTTGTGACGAGACATCGAAGAACAATCGACGAAAATAAAATTTTCTAAACAATTAATATCTCGCAATGTTATAACAAGAATGGGTTTTCGTATAATGAAAAGCAATAATGAATTTTGAAATAATTAAAAAAGTATTCGTTCGGAATTATTGCAAATTTTTTTTTGCTCTCATATATCCACTTATACGATACCAAAAATATATTACTTTCGCTTGAAGATCAACTTGTAACGGGCGATCATATATTACAATTAAAAAGATAAAAAAAAAAAAAGAAAAAAAAAAAGAAAAAAAAAAGAAAGAAAAAAAATTTTTTTAAGAAGAAAAATAAAAAATGAAAAGAAAGAAGTAGAAAATCGTGAATAAATAAAATTATCTTTCGTCGAAAGAGATAATTTCGCGAGAAAAAAAAAAAAGGAAAAGAAAGAAAAAAATAAAAAAAGAGATGAAAGAATTAAAAGAAGAAGAAAAATTAAAGAATATTTATCAATACATAGATTATTATTGCTTCTCACCATACGTACACTGTATAATGTATATATATATATATATATACACACACGTAGGTAAGTATGCGAGTCAATTAATAGGCGAGAAAGGGCGGCTCTCAAGAGCATCGCCTAAAAAGTGACTTAGCAAGTCCAATGCATACTAAGCGAGCTTTCCCGTGCCTCTTAGCCATGCCATTTCACTATCGGTTTCCCCTAAGCCCGTCGGTCGTCTCTTTACGGGGCTTCTAGGATCTTAGTAACGTGCGCACGGTGCCTACTCGTATTCCCCCCCGCACACATATACATACACATACATACATACATACATACATACATACATACATACATACATACATACAAACATACATACAGACATACATACATATATATGTATGTATGTGTGCACTTGCCCACAAGCCGCAAATACCCACAACGAGAAAAGAGACACGCGAGACTCCGAGCTTAAAACCCCTGGCCCACCCCTTTAGAAAACTTTCCAACCAGGCTAGCAACAGCAACACCATCCCACATCCATATCCACTATACAACTAACTAACCATCCTCTCTCTCTCTCCTCTCTCTCTCACACACACACACACATCACGCACACACATTCTCTCTATCATCACACGTCAATCCACTCTTCTCTTTCTCTTTCTCCTTTAGCCGATGATTAGTGCGAGAAAGAAGAACGGAAAATTAAAAAAGAAAACACACGCGCACGCACACACACATACACACACACACACACGCACGCAAAGGATAAAGAAAACACCAAGATGCTGCATGCATTAATTAATTCACGATAAAAACGATCTCCCCAATTTCCGATCGTTTCGCAATCGCGACTATATCTACTTATTATTACTCTACTGGAATTAATTTGAGAACAATAAAAAGGAAAAAAAAATAAAATAAAATAAAATAAAGAAGAAAGGAAAACTGAAACAAAAATACAACCAAAAAAAAAAAAATATAAAATAAATAAATAAATAAAAGAAAAACAAGAAGAAAACTAGGTGTGATATAGACAAGGAAAAAAAAACAAAAAAAAAAATATTAATAAAAGTAGACAGTATAAAAAGAGACAGAAGAGAGGAAAAAAAAATATATTATATGAGCGCATGCTCGACGAGTGCGTGGGATCGTATATGAAGCCAGAGCGACGAATGACCACAATCTACGTAATTCTCCTCATATCTATTTATCTCTATCTCTCTCTCTCCCCCCTCCCTCCCTCTCTCTCTCCCTTTCTTTCTAATTATTTTATCTCTCTTGATCATTCTCTCTCTCTCTCTTTCTCTCTCTCTCTTCCTCTCTCTCTCTCTCTCTCTCTCTCTCTCTCTCTCTCTCTCTCTCTCTCTCTCTCTCTCTCACTCTTTCTATCAATCACTCACATTGAAATCTTTTATCGTTCTCAATTAATAAACAATCAATCAATCAATCAATCAATCAATCAATCAATCAATCAATCAATCAATAATTATACGTAGATTTTATCTTTTTAAAAGGGGGCTGATGTTGGGGGAGGGGGGGTTGTAAGGTGATAGTAAGGGGGCTGTTATAAAAATTATCATAATTTACCTGGTGCATAGGATCATAACCCATGGAACCGTCGTTGTAAGGCTGCGAACCATAGTCACTACCATTTATTCCCATTCCGTATCCCGCCATATCTTGGGGCCCGCCTGGTGGTGCCGGTGACATCATTGGCGTTGGTGTACCCTGGCTGGCACCACCCATACTGTACGGCGATGCTCCTGCAAAAGCTGCTGTAGAAACAATCGCGGTGCATACAAAATTCGAGGGTGCTTCTATAAGTTCATCGTTATCAATGATAGCTTTTATCGCGTTCTTTTTCTCTTTTCTTTACCTTTCTCTTTTTTCTTTCGTCTAACAAATTTCTCGATTGTGGAAAAAAAAAAAAACAAAAAAAAAAAACAAAAAAAAAACAAAGAAAAAAAATAACAAACAAACCGGCGGCGCGTTTCTATCCTACAAATGAGATATTTTACAAATTTAATTTTTACGCTCGATACAAATTTATTAACACTTCCATAATCGATTTCATTGGTCGCGGCTTTTTTCCTTTTCTTTTCTTTTCTTTTCTATTTTTTTTTTTGTTCCCGATCTTTATTTAACAACAACGCCGTCGGTTATATATTCGCGTTGTATGTGATATGTGTATATGTATATATATATATATATATGTATATATATATGTATATATATGTAATTATTACGTACGTAAATTTTCTCATTCGTACGAGAACATCACGACGGTGCCTTTATTGATTTATTATTCTGTTTTATTTATTTTTTCTTCTCTCTCTCTCTCTCTTTTTCTTTTTTTTCTTCTTTCTTTCTTTCTTTCTTTCTAATTCAAATGAAGTTCGCGAGCGAGATTGCATTTTAAGAGAGAAAGAATGAGGGATGAAAAAAAAAATGGGAGAAGGTACGTACGTAAGTATGCGCGTATGCCTCGAATACATGACAAATTATTAATCCTAATTCCGTCAGTAATTACAATAGATCGAAAAGGGCATAGATGAATTTTAAAATATATCCGAGAGACTTGAATCCCGATGATACGAGTTTATCAACATCAATCATCCCCTCGTCGTATTCTTGCATTGTAAAGTTCATAGTTATGACACCCTTTTAGAATTTAGTTTCTTTAATTACTGCCGTAAAAAGATAGAAAGAGAGATGATAAGTCCGTGAGTGGAACGTGATCCTGAGAAAAGACAAACACGTAAGAATGAAAATCTTCTCTCATTGTTCTCTTCTGTCGTATTCTTTCTATTTCTTTCTTTTTTTTCCCCCACTTCTATCTCTGTCTGACTGACTGTCTATCTGTCTCTCTCTCTCTCTCTCTCTCTCTCTCTCTCTCCCTCCCTCCCTCCCTCTCTCTCTCTCTCTCTCTCTCTCTCTCTCTCTCTCTCTCTGTCTGTCTCTCTTTCTCTCTAATTTTCTCTTCTTCTTCGTATATAATTAGTAAGTTAAAAATATCTCGGCACGGCATGTGTCTCTAAAATAAAGAATACGCCTTTTGCAGTTAGCTAGGGAGGAGAGAACCCGACGTAGTAATAATTACGCGAAAGGACTTTCGCGAATGCGAAGAATTTTCCCAGGGAAATCCTACACTTTCAAAAAGTTTTTCTCACGAGTTTCTTCTCTAAGTAAGTGTGGTGTACGTATATATATATACATATATATATATATATACATATACATCGGGGCCCATGACGGCGACGTTTTGTATAAAAGAATTTACTTGATACTACCGATGGATAGTAACGTAAAAAAGAGGTAAAAAAGAAAATAAAAAAATAATAAAAAAAAATAAAAAAAAAAGATGAAAAGAAAAAAACAAAATTTCATACGTGTCTATCTCTCTCTCTCTCTCTCTCTCTCTCTCTCTCTCTCTCTCTCTCTCTCCCTCTCCCTCTCCCTCTCCCTCTCTCTCCCTCTCTCTCTCTCTCTCTCTCTCTCTCTTTCTCTATCTTGTCTCTACATAACTCGTTCAGAAAATTTATGCCGAAGTGTTAATACCTTTACGTGCTAACTTCACTTGGCATTAATGATTTACGGTAATTAGTAAACCATCAAATAAGTTCTTCCGCGTTCTAATTTCCGCCTCGACGAGAATAGACGAAAATAAAAAAGAAAAAAAAAACAAACAAACCAAAAAAAAAAAAAAAAATAGGAATACGAGGAGAGCTTTTGCTTTTTAAAGCAAAGCTTTAGAATTTGACGAGATACGTGCCGAATGCGTAGAACATTTCTAATAAAATTTATCCTTATTTTTAATTTATTTTAACGTTCTTCACTTACGTCAACCTTCTCTTTCTCTCTCTCTCCCCTCTCCTCTCTCTCTCTCTCTCTCGCTTTTTCTTATAAATCATAACAATGTCGAAAGATAATTTTCTATAGCACCGAATACCGTTGCCGTATGTATATGTTCGTGTACGTGTGCGCGCGTCGCGTCGTAATATCGTATCTCTTAAAATTATTGCTATTATTTCTTTCTTTCTTTTTTTTTTTCTTTTTTCTTTTTCTTTTTTCTCTTCTTCGTTTTGTTTTTCTCAAGCTCATTAGAAAAAATAAAAAGGAACTCTTCAAGGAACACCCGTTGCTCATTCGCGAAGGACGGAACTTACCAGCTGCCTTTTTGGCTGCGTACAAGTTCGCCTCCTCCTGCGCTTTACCTATGTTTTTCTTGTAGCGTATCCTCTTGTTGCCGAACCAAATGGAAACCTAAATAATAAGCCAAAGTGAAGTTTATTTTCTTTTATTTCTTCGATCGATTTCCAAAAGGAAAAAATATTAAAAAAAAAAAAAAAAAAAAAAAAAAAAAAAAAATATATATATATAGGTTGGAGAAAAAGAAATCCATTATTTTTGCGTAAACCTCAAGACTTTATTTAACATGTTTCGGATTGTCCGATTTGGGTCAAATAAAAAAAAAAAAAATAAATAAATAAATAAAATAAAATAAAATAATGGATTTCTTTTTCCCCAACCTGATATATGTATATAAAAAAAAAAAAAAAAAAAAAAATCTCATATATCAAATAAAGATATTAAATCGAAAGCCACGTATAATTTTCGTAGACTTGATATTGTAAAAAGAAAAAAAAAAAAAAAAGAAAAGAAACCTTATCATTTTCTGAACGTCGATAAAATGAATGATATTTATCGTATTAGACGACCTTTCTTTCTTTTTTTTTCTTTTTCTTTGATTGGTATTAAGTATATATATAAAAAAAAAAAAAAAAAAAAACGAAAAAAGAAAAAAAGTAATGATTTTTTACCTGACTCACGGTGATTCCACATTTCGCGTGCGAGTTCCTCTTTGGCCTCTTCGCTTGGATACGGATTACTCAAGTGCGAATAGAAGTACTCCGTTTAAGATTTCAGACGCCTGCTTACTGAAGTTCCGTCTTTTACGCCTGCGAAATAAAACATAATCGGCTTCCGTGTCGATCTTTTTATCTCGGAAACAACATTCATACAAAATCATATGGCGATGATAAAAGTATTTAAAAAAAAAAAAAAAAAAAAAACCCCCACTAAATCACGAACACGATAACGAAACCTTGCGTCAAGAAAACGACTCCTCAAAATCATAACTGCCTCGCAGGTCGATTGCTTTAATTGCATCTGAATACTCGAAAATTTCTTGTGAATAATTTGAACCATTCTTTCAATTTCCTTCGGCGTTATAGGCCTGGTACGACTCTGTTCCCTCAGTAAATTCATAACGTGAGTCGTGAACTCGTTGCATGCCTGAAACAAATAGAAGACAATTTTTTTTTCAATTATCCTTTACAATTTTTATAGATAATATATATTATTATCTATAATGTGTGTGTGTTTGTGTAAAAGAAATTTTTCATAATTCTACGTGTAAAATACGAAACGATAAAACTCGACACATTGCTCTTTCAGTAACAAGAAATGTTATTAAGAAATATAACGAATAAAGAGCACTAAGATCCTAAAGCTATAATACTATAATCCTTTGTTCTATATATCTGGTTTTCTTTAAAAACCTTAACTCTGATCTTCTCCAGACTTAACTCTTAACTCTGTCGCTACTCTCTGTTGGTTTACTCTCAGTACTCGTTACTTAGAAGCGGCGTAATTCTCAATCTTACATATATGTATGTATATATATATAAATATATATATGCATCGACATTTTCTAACTTTCATCCTTATATTAGATAGTTTCTTGATATATCTACGTCTCTACACGTTAAATCTAAGGACAGTTTAACAAGAAGAAAGATGATCAAGGATGTCGTCGAGATAGCAACGAAAGAAGAAAAAAGATACGGACAGACAGATAGAGAAAGAAAGAAAAAAGAGAGAGAGAGAGAGAGAGAGAGAGAGAAAGAGAGAGGGAGAAAGATACACGCGTATAATGAATTATTCCTAGTGGTTGGTTGCTGCTCGATTTAAGGGAAAAAGGACTTTGCTCCTGGCGTATCAGTATTCGAGACGTGCTACGTTCTGACTTTCGAGAGTAGAGGATATAGAAGATAGAGACAGAGATAGAGATAGAGTAAGAGTAAGAAAGAGGAAGAGAGAGAGAGAGAGAGAAGAGAGAGAGAGAGAGAGAGAGAGAGAGAGAGAGAGAGAGAGAGAGAGAGAGAGAGAGAGAGAGAGAGAGAGAGAGAGAGAGAGAGAGAGAGAGAGAGAGAGAAGCTTTTCTAGCGAGGTAAGAAAGAAGATGGTTGGAAAGACAAGAGAAGCAGGAAGAAGAGAAAAAAGAAGAAAGGATGCTGAGGATGCAGAGAGAAAGAGAGAGAGAGAGAGAGAGAGAGAGAGAAGGAAGAAGAGATCGAGGACGAACCAACAGCGTGGCTAGCAATTTCGAAATGGATTCCACTATCGTCGACGTTCCCCTGGTACACCCTTCTTCTTTTCACTATCCTTCTCTTTCTCTCTTTTTCCTCGTTCATCCTCCTCCTCCTTCTTCTCCTCCTTCTTCTTTTCCTCCACCTCCTCTTCCTGCTCTTGCTCTTCTTCCTTCTTCTGCTGCTGTTCCTTCTCTTCTTCTGATTCTCTTCTCACGTGCCAATGCGAACGAAACTGGTCTTGAATCCGAGGGAAACTGGATTGGATGGAGTAGCCGAAAAAGATCGAGAAAATAGAAACGAAGAGGAAGAAGAAGAAGAAGAAGAGGAAGAAGAAGAAAAGAAGAAGCAAACTTCTTTGGCTAAATCTTTTTTTCTTCTTTCGCTATAATTTCCTGCTTTTTTGTTTTTTTTTTTTCTTTCCATCCTTAAATCATATTGTTCACATTGTCGAAGTAATTGTATTATCGTTAAAATGTAAATAAAGTGCAGTTTCTATAAGTCGATTATTTTTCTTGGTAATATTAGAAAATTCGTATATATGTGTATGTTCTCTTTTTTCTTTTATTTTTTTTTCTTTTTTGTTGCTGTTAAATATTATTCGAGAATATCCCCTTTTGGTACGTACAAAATGAAACATTCAACGTCCTTTAGTAAAATCAATAATAAAAATATCTTCAATCCAAAGTGTTTACTTCGTTGTCACAAGTAGTACGAGTTTCTATCTCACGTTATATTCTAATATTATCGTATTTCGTTCTATTAATATCAACAACTGTTCATGAATTTTCTCTTTCTCTCTCTCTCTCTCTCTTTTTTCTCTCTCTCTATCTACATATCCATCTATCTTTTTTCTTTCTCTCTAAAATGAATAACTTTATCAAAAGTTATATGCACATTAATATACATACATACATATATATATATATATATATTACACGAGAGAGCAAGTCTTACATATATTCTTACACAGAAAAGAGAGAGAGAGAGAGAGAGAGACTCCAACTCTTCTTATGTAAATGTATTTATGGGAAACGGTAATTCGTATATTTAACGACGTTATATCGTGAACACTATGAATACTATAGAAGAGAAAGACACACACACACATACACATACAGAGAAAGAGAGAGAGAGAGAGAGAGAGAGAGAGAGAGAGAGAGAGAGAGAGAGAGAGAGAGACACCAAAAGAACTTCAGTCTTCAGAGACAGTAAATAAAAAAGAAAAACAAGAAATGAAAACTCCGATTATCTGAATCGCTAGTTTATATATATATATATATATATATATATATATATATATATATATATATATAAAGTACCTTTCCGATAAGTATTAAAGAAAATAAACGAAAGATAGTAAACGAGCTCGTTAAATAATTAAAGGCAAGTAACTAGATAACGGTTGCCTTCAAAGTTCGTAAAAAGAAAGGAATAAGTTGGCGAATAGAGATATAAAATAAAGGTAAAGTGAAATAAAAAGAAAAGTAGAAGGAAGAGAAGAGAAGAAAAGAAAAGAGAAAAGAAAAGAGAAAAGAAATGAAAAGAGAAAAGGACAAATAATAAAATAAATAAAAAGAATTGCATCGCGTTGCTCGTCCTATGGAATTGTCTGAAAGAGTGCTTGGAATCAGAACCCTGTGTGGAAATCGGATAAAATAAAGCCGAGCATGCGGTGGGAACGATGTTGGCTGCCGGTGTGATCACGCGATCTCATAAAACTCGGCGTGCTTCTATTCTTGTACTTGTCACGCCATTTTGCATAGCCTGCCAGACATTCACCCTAATGCAGTGAGTCGGCCGAATTTGAATAGTAAATTCGGCTTACCAGCACCGTCCTCCTTCTCTCTCGGCATTTTACCCCCTCCTCTCACTCTCACTCTCTCTCTTTCTCTCACTCGTTCCATCTCTATCTCTATCTATCTCTCTGTATATATCTATCTATCTATCTATCTATCTATCTATCTATCTATCTATCTATCTACCCCTTTCTCTCTATCTCTTTCTCTCGGGCGCAATCGCATAATGGAAATTTAACGATCGATAGACGAAATGAGATACAAGACGTGGACCAGAGCTCTCTCGTAGAGACGAAACAAAAAAATTGATTACCATATAAAATGGTATTCGTTCGTCTTTTTTTCTTCTTCTTCTTCTTCTTTTATCTTTTTCCTTTTTTTTTTCTTCCTTTTTTTTTTTCTTCCAAATTCACAATCCGCATACATTTAACTTTCGTAAAGTACTTTTTACCATTGAAAGAAGGAAAAGAAGGGAACGAGAAAGAAAGGAAGAAAGAAAGAAAAAAAGAAAGAAGAAAAAAAAAAAAAGAGAGAAAAGAATTATTCATACGCGTTAATTATAATATTATATTTTTTAATTCGTCGAACGAAATAAATTATGTAATCACGTATATAAATACGTATATGTAGATCGTATATCGATCTATTTCTCGTTTGAATAAAAATCTATCTCATGGGGACAAATACATATATATGTATTTTAGAAAATATCGTCTATGAATTGACGGCATTGAAATAGATAAAATCAACATTTCAAAGAGATAAATAAACACATACATATACATATACATATACATATACATATACATATACATATACATATACATATACATATACATATACATATACATATATATATATATATCGTATCGTCGAGGAAAGGATACGACATTGAAATAAATAAAATCGATAACAATAGGACGTTTCGTATAGCATGAGTGCATCCATACACACACACACACACACACACGAAACTAATTATCTACGTAAACACGATCGTTAACTTTGGGTACTTCTAACTCGGTAAGAAGGTAAACGTATGTATGTATATCAATGTAAGAACGAAAGGACACACGTCAGTCTTATCAGAAGCTTCAACAAGATAGGATATACTCAGTTAGTCCGGAAGAACCGATCGACTTCTCTCTCTCTCTCTTTTTCTCCTTCAATACAACTAACATCGTCACTATCACCGGATCGCCATTAGACCAACGGGCTCTCGCGTGTCATTATCGATGGGGTGCAGCAAGTCCAACCAATCCCCTCTTTTTCACCTCCCTTCCCTCATACGATGCATTCTCTCGTGCACGCTAACGCATATGTTATTTGTAGATCGTATGTATACATACACAAATACATACATATATATATATGGCTATATACGTATATACATACACATACACGATATAACGTTTACTGCGAAGAGAAACATCGCTGACACGCGCCCTGAAATATGGGGTCGAAACGGGTGTGGTAATTAAAATACGCGTGAGTCTAGCACACGAACCACGTTTAAAACATTAAATTCTATTTTCTTTCTTTCTTTTTTTTTTGTTTTTTGTCCCCCCACCCCCACCCCCCCACTACCCCCTTGTTTTTCTTTTGGATTTGCTTCGTACGGATACTTATTTCGCAAATCTTACGAAATGCAAATATATATTTTGTTCCTTTTTAAGGTAATACTTCGAACAATTTTCTAGACGATTAATAACAATTAATACGATGATCATTATTCGTAATCATAATTAGGGATATATTTAAATGTATAAAAATATTTCGGAGAATTCTTTTATCATAGAGAGAGGAGAGAAAAAGGAGGAGGAGAAGGAGGAGGAGGAGGAGGAAGAAATACACGAAAGTTCCGACAATGTACTACGACGGACGAGAAAAACAATAAAATGAGAGTAAAGAAAGAAAAGGAAGAGAAAGAACCAAAAAAGAAAAAAGAAAAAAAAAAAAAGAAAAGCAAAGTCACGCAAGGTCGCTGATCTCGCGTGACACGTATGCATCGTTCGTTTATTAACACGCGAATCGCCAGAGAAAATAAAAAGGGGAGGACGGACGGACCTGCATCTAAGATTCTTATCGTGTCTGTCACCCTTAGTAAAAAGTTTTAAGTTCCGTTTGAAAAAATTACCATTGTTTTACGAAGACTGTTAAACTTTTAATTATTCTTGTGTCTTATTTTCTTTTCTTTTCTTTTCTTTTCTTTTCTTTTCTTTTCTTTTCTTTTCTTTCATACTTTCATTCTATTTTATTCTATTTGTTTCACGATAAATAAGAAGCAACGTAATCAAAATATTCGTGATAATATTTATAAGGGATAGATAAATATTCATTATACTTTCGGAATATTTGTTATATTATATAAACGATACAATTAAAAATAAAATCAAAACAAGTTAATAATCTGTAACAATTATTTCCTTTAAAATATTTATTTCATTCTCAACGTTTAACTAAATTAATTGTTAATAATTCATATCATAAATTAATAAAAGTTACTTTTATTAATTTATGATGCTTTTGATATAGAGCAATTATATTACACTTATGCGTTATAAAAAAAAAAAAATATATATATATAAATTTTTTTTATCTAAACGAAAAAAAAAGGATAAGATTATAGAAAGTTAGATATTGTTCTCTCTCTTTCTCTCTCTCTCTCTCTCTCTCTCTCTCAGATATCAATGATTATAAAAGATGTACAAATTTTAAGAACAAAAAAAAAACGATAAGAAATTTATACAAACCTGTTCATATTTCTCAAGTTCCTGATGATAGATCTGCCTAATCTGAGCGAGTTTTGCTCGGTAATCCGAATGTTCAATCGCGTTGTCAGGTTGTCCAGGTGGTCCAGCAGCAGCAGCTGCCGATGCCGACGCCGCAGCCCCCGCACCGCCACCTTTTTCTGGACCTGCCACACCCTCAGCAATCAACATATTGTCCAGCCTCATTAATTGCGGATCTGGTGGTTCCTCTTCTTGCGTATTTCTCAACGATAGTACTGCAAAGAGAGAGAAAAAAAAATATATATATATATAAATTTGTTCTTTTTAATAATTTACATCCTTTCTCTTTATTTTCAGATAACACATAGTTTTAATAGTCTTTATCATATTTATAAAATTAAATAACTATGACGTTACGAATTAACACACACGCACACATACACAAACACATATAATGAAATGATATAAGTAATAAAAAAAAAAAAAAAAAAAAAAAAAATCTATCAGGATTCTAATTAAAATATTTGTAAATATAATGACATATCGGCATTTTAAATATATGATCAATATTTATAATAAACATGATACTTAATTATATATATTGATCGGTTGTATTACGCCTTGATATTTTATTACAAATACTGATCCAAAAATGTTCATATACGGTGACAATTTATTTTACAAAATTTATTTAATTAAAGTAATTAATTAAAAGAAGAAAAAAAAATAATAATAATTAATAAATATACTGATCAGATAAATAAGTGACATATTATCTCATTTTTTTGCACAATTAAAAAAAATTAATTGTTAGCTCTTATCCAAAAGTTAATTAGTAGTCGATATAATGGTATAATAATTTTTACGTTACGTAATTTTTTTTATTAAGCACGTAAAAAGCATTGTAGAAGGTTAATGGAGAAAAAAAAAATTATCAAAATAATTATCTTCATACGATTTTTTTCGATCGGTCTTACGTCATTCTCTCTGTCGTCTTAATGTGTATATATATATATATATATATATATTTTTTTATTTTTTTTATTTTTTTTTTTTTTATTTTTTTTATTGCATCGTTAACGAAACAAGAAATAAGTAAAAGTACGATGAAGTATAAAGATAGTGGCAGTCAATTCCTGGTAGTAGATACATCGAAAATCGTCGATCCTACGAATCGAGAGCAGCACGTTCGTTGATCATAAAAGAATCAATTTTAGTTCGATGTATTCCTCCGTCTTTCTCTGTCTATATTTATTTCTCTCTGTCTCTGTTTCTGTCTCTCTTTTCCTCTGTCTCTTTTCCCCGTTTTCTCCGTTAAGGAGCCGTGCACGCAGTGGTTTAGAACGGGTGCTTTCCTAAGGCGTAACAGTGCTTTTATTGTACTTTTACGAGGTATGATGGAGCTGGACGAGCTATAAAACGACAAAGAATGAAAGAGAAAGAGAAAGAGAAAGAGAGAGAGAGAGAGAGAGAGAGAGAGAAAGAGAAAGAGAAAGGAAGATAGAAATAGTATATTTCCCTCTGTTTCTCCCTTTCTATCTTATTCTCTCTTTCACGTTCTCTCTACTCTCTCTTTTGACAGTTCTTCGAGGAAGACCCAACTTCAACACTTTTTATTCTACTTGGTACGTATGTAAACAGTAAGAAGGACATATATATATATATATATATATATACACACCACATATACACGTGTGAACGAAAGGCGGAGAAAACGCATACAGTTAGAAATAAGAACGAATACTCGAGAATTCTGGTAAACGCCATAAGAATTCAAAGAAAAGGGTTATGACGTTGGTCGGTGGAACAACGATGAAGCCATTTCTACAATTTTTGTCTTCGATGGCAGCAAGACGATAATGCGGAGTGAAGTAGGGTTATGGAGGGATGCATACAAAAGGGAGGAGGGGGGTGTCGGATCAGGGATATCGAAAGGTGGAGTAGGTGGGGGGAGGAGGAGGGAAGACGACTTTTCTCCTCGTAGGGCGATACTAAATTTACCATAAAAACACCGTAAGGGTTTCCCTTTAAATTTGCCATGACCGCCGGGAGGAGCCATCCCGAACATCGTAAAAATCAATCGAGCACTTTCATTCCGAGAGAGAGAGAGAGAGAGAGAGAGAGAGAGAGAGAGAAAGAGAGAGAGAGAGACCGATCGATTCGATCAAAGAGTGTAAAACTTTCGAAAAAAAGTTAATCTTTTCAATCATAGATTTTACGTTTTCTCTTCGTAAAAATCAAATCAAGCGTAAGCGAACTTTGAACTTATATATACATATTTTCTCTCTTTCTCTCTCTCTCTCTCTCTCTCTCTCTCTCTCTCTGTTTTTTTCCTTCTTCTTTTTTTGACTCAATAATTTTATCAACGAATTAAAATGAACTCTGAAACGTTATTATTTAAATTCTGATTTAAATTTGTTAAAACTTAACACCTTTCTTTCAATGTCTTTAGCTCTCTCTCTCTCTCTCTCTCTCTCTCTCTCTCTCTCTCTCTCTCTCTCTTTCTCTCTCTTTCTTTTTCTCTTTCTCTAAGGAGTTTCCAGTTAGCACGGTAAAAAAAAAAAAAAAGAAAAGGAAGAAAGAAAGGAAGAAAGCAAGAGAGAAAAGGAAAGAAAAGAAAAGTCTCTGGAGAGATCGAAAAGGGAGGATGGTAAAAGTTCTAGTCGAGCTCCGAGAGACCGTGAAACGAATGCACGAGGCTAATGCATTTATACGAAGTGTAACAATTAGAACGCGTAATTTTATAAGGGAAAGAGATGAAAGAAAGAAAGAAGAGGGGAGAAAGAGAGAAAGAGAGAGAGAGAGAGAAGTTCTTACTCTTGGGATTTTAAAGACTCGAAGACCAGAAGAATACGCGAGATTATCATTGAATCATCAGCCACTAAATGCGATTGATTTCATTTTCAACTCGTAATTTATTTTCCCCTTCTCTTTTTTTTTTCTTTTTTTTTTTTTTTTTTGTGAGATGGGAAAGAAAATTTAAGACGTACAGTGGAATGCGCTCATATCTCAAAGATTCCAAAATCGTAACTAGGAAAAATCTTTTGGGCGTTTCTACGAAACGAGTTAAGAATAAGTTAACGATAGGCAAGTATAAAGGAAGACTCGACACCGCCATTAAAACTTTTATATTCGTTCGTGTTCCGTCTTGTGCCGTTGTATTCGTCGAGAGAAAAGTTTGCGCGATAGTTGCGAATAATTAAAAATAAAAGATTTTTCTATGCAGTTGTTCGAAAAAAAAAAAGAAAAAAAAAAGAAAGAAAGAAAGTAAAGAAAAGGTGAGAGACACGCGGAAAAGGTTTGTTGAATAAATAAAAAAAAAAAAAAAAAAAATTACGTAAACGAAATTTATAAAGAAACTCTACGAGCCTTTACATATATTATTAACGGAATCGATAATTGATTGTTATAGATAATATCAGTGAGAATTTTTTGTCATTTTCAATATGTGTTTCACTTTTAAGAATGAAATTTGTAGATTGGAAAAAAAAGAAAAAAAAAAAAAAAGAAAAAATAATGTCGCAAGTTTTTTTCTCATCGAATTACCGTTTAAAACGATTAAGTACTTAATTTATTTGACCGAGTGAATTATTTCTTCGATCTAGAGACGTAATGTTGGATCCTTTAAAAATCGTAGATGATAAAACTAAAATATTTATACCCTTTAATTAATGTAAAATAATTCTTTCGGAACATATAGATAAATGATCAAAAAAAAAAGAAAAAGGAAAAAAGAAAAGAAAAAGAAAAAAATAATGATATCGGTATAATTAAACGAATTTTTTTTTTTAAATAAATACATCAGATTCCAATCATCGCGTTTTATATATATATATATATTTCAAAAACCATTTCAAAGGATTATAACTTTATTTTTTTGTAATTAATTTTTTTACGACGACGATTCGTAATAATTTTATAAAAGCGTAACAAGAGATCGACATTATTAATGAAATACTTATAAAATTTACAGAAATGTAATTACAATTTATAATTTGTTTTTTCATGTTTAATTATTTATATTTATAACGAAATAGTCGACGATAGTAAAATCGCAAAACGATATATATATATATATATCATGTTCAACGAAGCACCTCATCAACACAAGTATACGACGACGACGACAACGATGATATCTTAAAAAGATCATTCGATCGGATCGAGATCGTAAAAATAGCGATCGAATATGATCACCGAAGAAAACTCATGCAGGTCGATTTTAATGCGTCGCGTCGTCGAGAATCAAGAAGAAGGAGCAGTTAAACGAAGCGAAATGAAGAAGAAAAAGAGGAAGTAAAATAAGAGGATAAAAAGAAATAAAGATAGAAACAGAGAGACAGAATGAGAGAGAGAGAGAGAGAGGAGGAGGGGAGTATATTTAAAGGCGTGTCAGGAGAAATTAAACGTCGTACGAAAATTATTTTCTAAGAATTTCGAAGGCGAATGTGCGCTCGTGCACGCCTTCGAGACGACACGACGAAGCTTGGCCGATGGAGAGGCGGGGGTGGCTTACGGGCAATAATCTGGCCATTAGGGGGTGTAAGGGGCGGCCCTTCGTGCCACGTCGAGGGGGTGGCAGCTTCCTACGGGGGTCCTTACAAGCGCGTAAACTCAGTTTTACTAGCAGTTAACATTTTACGACTCAGACGGTCTGCCTGATGTCTCTTCTCTCTCTCTCTCTCTCTCTCTCTCTCTCTCTCTCTCTCTCTCTCTCTCTCTCTCTCTCTCTCTCTCTCTCTTTCTCTCTCTCTCTTTCGTTCTTGTCCTCCTTTTGAGCATATCAACTCTCTTTCTCTCTCTCTCTGTCTCTGTCTTCTTCGGTCGATGCACAAGAGTACACGCGTGCAACGTGCACGTAAACGCTCGCCGGTTTCGAGGGTCGTTCGTAAGCAAGTTGTATTAATATGACACCCCATTAAAGATCGCTGATCTCTTCGATGCAACTAATTCATAAGCAATATAGGTACAGTGATTACGTATTTAATTAATAATAAAAACAAGGGAACGAACGATTCCTAAACGAATAAAATAATCTTAAAAAAAAAAAAAAAGAGAAAGGTAAAAACGACATCGATATATGTATATATTATATATAGAAACTTATATTCATAAATTATAAATAATTATTTTGTGGACGAGTTAAAGATATCAAACGATATAATTGCTTTATTTATCAATTAAAATAGTACATATATTTATATATTTATATATATATATATATATATATATATATATATATATAAAGTAACGAATAAGCAGCAATAACTTTTCG